TTGTTTGTCATTGCAATTGTTCCTGATATCGTAAACAACCTTTGTAGGCACTCGGTGATGTATCTGTCATTCCTTTCTTACAGAACTACCCACTGCCTTCGTTGCACATCATCTTCGATGTATTCGCGTGATACAGCTGCAGACCACTTTCTGTAACAACCAATCACTATTACGACCTGTTTCATTTTCTACGCGTCTTCTTCCCCTTCGTGCTGTCCAGCCCGCCACCTCTCGTTTTTACGTGATGCCTGACCTCTATGTCTTTTGAACTCCTTCCTAAATATATATACAATTTTGTGTACACAAAAATTCCCACTTACCTCCCGGTAATTTGCCAGGGATAACCTGATAACAGGTCCTCATCTCTACAGAATCAAAGCAAAATAATGAATTGTTTCAACGGTAACACTTGAGTCAGTTTTAATACTGGCCAGTACTAACATTTGATTGGTTCTCAGAACAAGAACAGTGATTGGCCGGCAAAGCTTAGCATAACAAACCATTCCATAAACTGGGTTTTTTATTAATAGTACAGTTACATATTACATTTTTTTGTATTGCAAATAATTAATTGAATTTTGTTGTGTGTTGTTATTGAATTCAGTTGTTAAATCTCTTTAAAATTTAAAATGATATAGACAAGTTTCAAGTTTGCATTTGCGAAACGTAACATTTTCTTAAAGTCAAAAACGTTAAAAATGTCCACAATTTGGCCACACTGTAGGGTTAATATCAGTGACTAAATCTACACCTTGGGAAAGTTTTAATTCTTACAGAGAATAAAAAAGATCTGGCTCATCATTCTTTTAAGCATCATAAAACTTTAAAATGAGTGTAAAAGAAATTCATTTTTACTTCACACGCCAGATTTTAAATTAATATTTGTTTTGTATACACAATTTTTACAATATTCATAAACGAAATATAGGCTTGCAGTCTCAATAAAATGTCCCATTAATGGCGATTAATGACTTTTTGTAGCACCCAATCTTCTTGGTAAAGAAAGAGGGGACCGAAAATGTTGCACAATTCGTGGATTAGATAAGAGGGGGGAGGGGATCTTCGATCAAATTTCGCGCAGTTCATACCCTACCTAATCCACGAACTGCCTGACGTTTTTCTGTCCCCTCTTTCTAAGAACTTGAATTCCCAAGAAGATGGATGCTACAAAAAGTCATTTATCGCCATTAATGGGGCATTTTATTGAGACTGCAAGCCTCTATTTTCATTTATCAATAGTGTAAAAATTGTGCATATAAAACAAATACTAATTTAAAATCTGGCGTGTGCTAAAGTAAATAATTTTTTACACTCATTTAAAGTTTTATGATGCTTAAAAGATGATGAGCCAGATCTTTTATTCTCTGGAAGAATTAAAACTTTTTCATGGTATTTTAGTGCTGATATATATATATACATTTTTGAATATTAATAATTATAGATTCATGCCATACCAAAATGGATACAACAATCAAACGGATTTGTACGCAACTAATAATTTTCTTGTCTAGATAAATAAAAAATCTTCTTAGATAGCAGAATGGTTTTACTTTCCAATTTACCATTTAGGTAACAGTTCTAATTAATTAAAAAATTATCTTTATTAAATCTAAAAAATTAGACGGTTCTAATTCACACTAATATTTTGATACATGCCGTAATTACCATTTTTCGTCATTGAAGTTTTTTAAGGTTTTAACTTCTTACAAATTCCATATTTTAATACTAGAACGTTTAAATTTATTCTGTTTCTCACCTTATGTAACTTTGGCAACCATTTAATTTCTAATACCATTTATTAAAATTATATTATGACTGCAATTTTCATAATTAAAAAAAAATTAATTCCCTTTATATTAATACTGGGATTTTCCATTCCTTTTAATCCATTTCTTTTTCACATATGTTGCACTGTATTCAATTTTATGTATTAAAATTTATATTTTGTATTGTATTTATGCCAATTTATTTAAATGATAATTTTTACAATTCTTGATAAGCTCTAGTTAACGGAAGATGTTTTTAACACCTCGGAAAGCTTAAACTTCAGCATATGCAGCTTTTTTCTAACCTGTTTTCGGCTGAATATTTGTAAATTAGTTATTGAAATTATTTGTTACAAAGATGGTCTCTAAATCAAGCAATAATATTCTAACTGTTGTAATTATATGCATCACATTCCTTCATTTATAATTTTTCAGCAGTATTGAAATTAATAGCGAACTGATGTTATACATTTAGATTACAGTTTAGTTTCATTGTCTTCTTCACATGCTTTTATGCTACATTCCTCATTCAGAATGGCATAAGGTAAGTTTAACTATTCAACAACATGTAAATCTTTAATTCAGCCCACTTTTTCTTACTGGCTGTATCTTCTATTTTCCTAATATATTTTCAGCCTATTTCAAAAGGTCTTATGATCAAGCGGAAAAGTCACTAAACATTAGTAGTTCGACCTGAGTTTCTAATCCCTGAGATCTCCCAGCTCTTTCTTTCTTTTTTTTTTTTTTCTTTTCTTTTTTTGGTACTTATTTACTGTGAAAAATGTATCGTAAAATTTCAGTTCATGAAGTAAAAATATTTTTTAATTTATTCTTTAAAAATATTGCAAAAATTTTTCACCTTAACATATCTTTTTACAAAACCCTCTAATAAGAAAAATAAGGAAAAATTACCGCTTCGTGATTGTTCCTCGGTGCAATTATATGTAACTTTTTCCAAAAGCTAGAGTTATAGGATATCAACAATAGGATTATTTCTCACTAATTTCTAACATGTTTATTCTAATTTTCTTTTACGGAGCGCTTAACTTTATAAGTTTCTATACTCATTCCAATTCTTTAGCCATGGCAATTTTATACTTCTGCAGTAGTTATATTTTTTAACCGTGTATTTTAATTCCTGTTGACTATCAGTACAATTATTACTTGTTCACAAGTGCAAATATTTATTTACACGCAAATCTACGTAAAATAGCAAAAACTCAGTATGCGGAGCACCTGATCGTTCTGTTTTAGATTGAAGGAAATTAAGTTAAGTTTAATTAGCTTGTTATTATTTAATTATACATTTTAATCAATTATGTGTCAGATATTTCCAAGTATATTACACAAACTTTTGCATCCCAATTTTTAATTTTTGATTAAAAAATAACTTTTATTATTGAGAAGCCTGAATTGATTATATTAATTGAAGTACTATTTATCTAATTCTTTTCTCTAAATAGTTTAGAAAAAATTCTGAGCATAATAATTTATTTATTTACATTTATACGTCGTGTTCCAAACCTAGTATGTTTATATAGATTTCATGCTAAGCTTATTTTAATTTAACTGTTTAATTTCTGCAAACAGTTACATGATTACTTAATAGCAAAAATATTTAGCAACTTAAACACATTGATATGGAAATCTTTTGCACCGGTGAACTCTATAAATTTCCTGTCTAGTTCAGACACTCACTATTTGATGTAATTTATAAAAAACATAATTGTATGCTTTATAATTATTTAATTTATGATATATTATAAAAATGAAAGTTTTGTAATGCTAATATGTATGTTTAACTACCTTTTTTTCTTTGTTAGCTCTCATTATTAAGTTATCAGTAATTATACCTGTGTTAGTATTTTTACTTGTTCTTTTTATATGTAATTCTATTTCTTTATTTTTATTTTCCTCTTGGCTACAATTGGCTTCGAAAAGTTAAATTTTAACCTTGTAGGCAATAGGGGGGAAAATTTGATTCGCGTAGTTGGACTATAGCAGGAGCCGGGGGGATTTTCATTCGCGCAGTTGGAGTACACCCAGATGTTGTAAACTGAGAAAAAACATTGTGTGCTAATACTTAACACTGCATCGGGAATTCTAAACGTATACCCCTATGCTGCATTAAAAATTTTGGCGTAAGTTTTAAATTTTAGTGTAAATTTTGGCTTTTTATGGCGTAAGTGCGATGAGAATGATGCTTAATAATATAAAGCTAAAAAAAAAAAAAAAACCATTAGTGGGAGTGAATGTAATAGCAGACTGGTAGCTTGCGAACTCAGCGAGAGCGTAAAAAATCTTAGCAAACCCTTAAAATCTGTACCCTTAAAATCTGAATCCTTTCAGATTTTTTATACATATTATTAATTAATGATAAATTAAAATGAATTAATTAAAATGATTTGAAAAATTGGTTTAGTGACGAAGTCTGTTTAAGAGGAAAACAAAATTTTCACTGCGAAGAAAAACTTTTTTCCCGATCAAAATGTTAATAAAATATCTCTTTCAATTTTTAAGATCATGCTGAACTAATTTAAATTTACTAATTAAATGTCTCAATTACCGATAAAAAATACGCGCATTAATTTCGTTAGGATTATTATTCTAAGTAACAAATATAATACTATTTAAGTAATTATTCATAGTAATATTCCAATAGGTATTAATAACTTTAACAAATATTCTAATGCTTCTAATTACCTAATGACACTTTTAATAATCATTGATAATTATCTAATAACAATTTCACTAATTATTCTAATAATAAATTAACAAAAAAAGTTAAGAATTTTTTTTTTTTTTTTTTTTTTTTTTTTTTTTTTTTTTTTTTTTAATAGTTTCAGGCCATTAATCTTAAATCTATTATACTAAAGTCTGAGGTTGACTTTAACTTTTATAACTTACTTCTAAATCGCATATTTTAACATAATAGAAAATAGTTAATAACATTTAAACGTGTACTATTCGAGAAATGGCCGACGATCATTCTCGGTAGCCAGCATTTTTCCAAGGAATTTTCTGGATTACAATATTAACCTCTAGGTGCCAGGGAAAGCAAATCAACAACCCCTTTCTTCGTTGTGGGACTGTGATCATGTGTGAACATGTTTAAGCGGGGGAACACGTAATACGCGAAAGATGGGAGAAATTCTTTACTTCAGCCACTTTCTTCCGAAGTAGCCGAAGTCAAAGAAGAACTTTGGCGACTTACGAAAGCAACTTTCCGAAGTTTGGCGAGCAGGGCTAATCGCGATAGCTGCGGGAGAGTTTCCGACACTCATTCAGTAAGCTGCACGTGATTGTGAGTGGCGGATGTGTAAAGTTTGTCTCGCGTCAGGATTTTAACGCGTGTTTACAGTTCATAGGATTTCTGAAAAAGTAAGTATTTCTTTCTTTCTCTCTCTCTCTTTTTTTTTTTTTTTTTTTTGTTAATTCGTGTCGCAAACGTAAATATTACAGAAGGTTCATTTTATTATGGAATGCCAATAATGAAGAGTAATGCATTATTTATCGGTAAATATTGTTGCCCGAATTTTAAATTATAATTTCATAGTGTGGATTTCGCTGTGTCTATTAATGTATATTATTTTAATTTAGTGTGATTGTTACAAATTATAGAACTGCTGTTTTAGAGTCAAAATTGAGCAATAGGATTATAAACATACCTGAAATTGCATTATATATTTGCCCGATCGTAGTAAAACAAAATTATGTAAACAATTCGTTATGCGTATTTTAAATTTTTTTTTATATTAGATTATATATGTAATTTGTACAAAGGTTGATTACGAAATGTATTAAAATTACTGATAACGCAAAACTACGTTACTGAATGTTTCAGGCTGTATTACTTGAAACATGAAATCAAACGTATGAACGAATCACTTTTTTAAATCAAGTGTCATTCTCTAACTTTGAATTAAATTTCTCATTTTGCGTGATGCTAATGAAGAAATTACAGTATATAATTTTATTAGAAATGTATGTGTAGTTATTAGCCAAAGTAATTATTACAAAGAAACAAGTTTGTACATAACTATTAATAATATGGCGCGTATAAATTGTCAAGTTAAAATGTAACCAAGATTTTAATTTTTAAATATTTTTTTTTTTAACTTAAGTTTGTTTTTACTCTTCTTATATATGTAAATAATCATTTGTGTATATCATTTTTCATTAATTTTATTATTTGAAATTATTATGCATAAAAGTACAGTGAACTTTCTCAAAGACATGATTCCACAGTGTTAAGTTTTTTTGTGTGGGTTTTCATTTTAGGGTGTTGACAGTCGATACCGAGTTTTATTTATGTTCTCAGAAACACCACTTTTAGAGTTGGTCGTCTTAGACCGGGTAGTTTGCCCATCATTCATTAACAGGTCTGTAGTGGAACATAATTTAATGTTTCTATATAATTATTAAAACTTCCTAAGAGGCAACATGATGTAATGTTTTGAATAGTTATTAAGATTCGCCGTGTGGCAACAGCGAGTCGAGCTAAAAACGTCGTTACTTGGAGTGTTCCTTGATAAGCGTTGCGTAAGCTTTATTTATTAAAAGTTTGTTATATTTTTATGTAAAAAATAAGTAACATGTTACAAACAAGACTGAAAATTGTAAAAATAAATAACTATTTTTTTAAGACCAAAATAAGCACTTATTTCACTTATGAAATGCTCTGGCTGATTAGTTTCAATTTCGCTTATTCATCAAATCCACAGGTCCATTAGAATTTGAATGAATAAAATCTCTTTATGTTCTGGGTTCGATGCTAGATAAGTTGAGTTGATTATTATAATTATTTTAGGAATATTCCACTGTATGATGTAAGAGTTGTGAGCATATCGTAATATTGTTTTACCTTTATAGAAATCAGGAAAGTTGGCGTAGCGAATCCCTTTAAAAAAGCGCTTTGCCTAGTGCCAGAGACTGGCTTAACGGAGTATTATTCATTTATACGCATCAAATAAAATGCAAGGAAGGCATTTTGGCATTAGAATAGGATATTCACAGTGGTCGCAATGATTTAATATTTCCTATACTGTGGTACCTCGGTATACGCCAGTAATTTATTCAACCCTTGGACTTAATACAAACGAGCTTATCCAGTAAGAAATGAAGGAAAATTAATTATAAAAAATATTATTATAAGACTGTTTAATACTCTAATATAAATGGAGTGGTTGAAATTCCTGCACATAAAAGTTTTTTTTCCATCTAAATTAAAAGCAATTTTTCATCATGTTATAACATGGTCTTTGATCACTGTTTAGTATTCTATTTCATCCCCTTCGGAAAGTTATCCGAATCTATAGCATCTTTGTTTCTCACAGTCATAGACAGTTGTAATCGGCATTCTGTATGCAATAGCGAAGTCCCGGACACGCATTGTCATCATACTTTTCAACATTCTCTTTTCACATCCATGGTGATCCGCACAATTTTTTTCGTTGCTTGACTCTCCTCATTGCCTTCTTTAAAACTCATTGTTAATAAATTTACAAAAAAAAAAAAAAAAAAAAAAACCACCCAAAACACAAAATTACTTGAAAATTTAGAGCTCCGGTTATATGCTTAATAGTAGCTACAGGCGTACTGGCGCCCAAGTAAAGTTGTAGCATTTTCTCCAAAGAAGAAAACAAGTGTAATGTGCACAATCGTCACCCATCGAACTCGAGTCATATTCCAAATATCATGTAAGAAACAAAACTTTCTCATTCAAACAGGATGTATTTCAAAGCGGACGTGTACTGAGTTACCACTGTATCTACAAATATGGATAAATTTCTTGAGATCAGAGAGGGATGTGTATTAAATCCTTCTTAGAATCGACCATAACTGTTACTTTGATTCCTAAATAAATAATCATCTTCTGTTCATCTAGATTGTTAGATATAGTACTACAATTTTTAAGTGGCTTTTGAATTATATTGGGTTTAATTTTATTCCACGCTTTTATTATCCATTCATACACTATTTCTAGACTGGCATGAAGCATTTGACCTCCTACTGCAAATGTTTTTTCACTTTCTAACGTCCACGTATTCCACTTCGTTTTAAATTTTGAATGGTTTATTGGTATACACATCTAATAGCGTCAATCTCCTTGGATTAACTGCCATGTCTTATTAACACTTCTTCAACAATTTCTTGGTATTATTCGTTAGATGGGATCTGAAAATGTCCCAAACTAAAATACTTCCTAGATTCTTCAAGGCAACAGGATGTCTTTTGCCAAACATTTCTTACCCACGATTTTGCACCGTTTTCGTCCATACATGCTTTCTCGTAAACATGAATGAAAACATTATTTGGTAAATTACATTTCGGCAGAGTCTTTCTTTTAAAAATAACCATAGGCTTTAACTTTGCACAGTCTGCTAAGCAGGAAAGCACTACGGTGAGATATCTCAAGTGAAACATTTTTGTTCCTTTCGCATCAGTCGTTTTATTCCCCATCATATAAAACATTACTGGAGTTTCATCCATATTTCCAATATGTGATCGTAAATACTTTTTTCTTTGTCTTCGTGGGTCAATAAAGCGTATATCTTTCAGGTTTCTTCGCAAAGAAAAGAATGAGCGTTATATGGCGACTATACCTAATAATTAAAAATTGTAGTGTGAAATTATGGGTACGCATTATACGCCGGAATATATGCGGTAAATTGAATCGCCTAGTTTAAAGCTTATTTTGAAGGCATTTGCAGAACATTTTACTTTCGATTTCTTCATTATTGTATTCCGTGTTAAGACATGTAAGAGATTTACTTTAGGGAGCCAAAAATGTGTCTTAAAATGATTTAATTTGCCTTCTTCAAATAATTTCGATGGTATTTTAAAGAACTTTTTAAGTATGCTTATTTGGGGGGGGGGCTTAGAATTATATTTTCGACGTATCACGCGCTCCTATAATTTCAAACTACAATTTCTAATTTTTAGGTATTGAAACGTATTTGCGTTGTACGCTACCAACATAATTCCACTAAAGAAATGTAAATTACCGCAAAGAATATCTGCAGACGATGCGCGCGCTTAAAAATGTTTTTCAATTATTCTGTAAGTTTTGACTAATGAAGTTGGTTGCTCGTTCACAAATGGCGAGATTTCTTTAAAACTTCATTACAGTATATATTCGCCATATAACGCTCATTCTTTTCCTTACAAAAAAGAAAGAAAGGAAAAAAAAAAAAAAAAAAAAAAAAATGAAACATACACGTTATACGAAGATCCCTCAAAAAATATTTACTGTCACATATTAGAAATATGAATGAAATTCCAGTAATGTTTGATATGATAGGAAATAAAACAGTTGACAGGAACAAAAAAGGTTTACATTAGGTATATGTGGAAATCTACTTTTAGTATGCTCATCTTTTGCTTATTTTTAAATCTATCATTTTTATAATGCAGCGTATAATACGCTCCCGTAAATTTCGATTTTACTTTTTGTATCAAAAGTGCGTGGTGATGTTATAAGGTAAGTTTATTCTTTTGTTAGTAATTCGGTTGCATAATCTTAAAAAAAGAAAAAGGGTGAAGCCATAAAAACTTGTGAAAAAGGTCCAGGACTGAAAACCAGATTAAAATAAGCTTATTAAAGCTCTCTTTAATTTTAAGGTGGAGGGTATTCAGAATGAGATGGAAATAAATACTCGTACAATTGAAAAATTGAATAGTTAATGTAAAATTTTGCAGATTTTCGAGTGAAATTATTTCTTAATGAAAAATCGAAATGCTTGCAGCGGAAGTATCATCCTCGGTAATAACATATTAGAAACCTGTTTCCTAACAGAAATTCCTTTCCCTGCTTTGAATGACGTAAGAAAATTGGTTATTATATAACCACGGTTTCAGAAATGAGGTGCGAGGTGTGTTCGTAAAAAATGTAAATCGTAACTGGATTTTGTATTAAAAGGCATTAAAATATATGGGGAACATAAATCTGCACTGATCCAGTTTAGCGAATTTCCAGATATCATAACAGTTATCGTCCACCACCATAACCATTCAATATTTGCTGACAAAATATTTGAAAACATTAACATTTAAAGTGATGTTAAATCAAGCGCTGAATTCAGCAGTAGTTTTCCAGAAATTACTAAAATTTCAGATTGAAAAAGTCTGGAAGAGCTGAAGAAGCCTTAGAAAATGAAAATATTGGTACAATGTGTATATATCTTTGTGACAATTTTAGATGTGTGATCTCCACTGAAAGCAAATATGAATGCACTCGGAGCAAAATCTTCTGGTCACTGTATCAGTGTTTATAACATGTGAATAATAACTGAATTTACGTAGAATTATAAATTATAACTAAATATTAAATGATGCTACTAGTTATATATTTTGGCATTTTTAAATTAAAAAAAATCAGTTTTGTAATGATTACGAAATTTAACTCTTTTGAAGTGTCCCGGTCTTTGTAATTACATATAGTAATCGTTTATACTCATTTTAAAATATCCGATGTGGACACTACATGACGTCCTTGTACGGCCTATATAATTTATTATATACGACTTTTGCTGCATTTCTTTTAAACTTATTTTTTGCTGAAATTCATTTAAACTTATTTCCTCGAACTTCATTAGAGATATATTTCTCATTCAATCAATTGTTTTCACTTCGCGGCTAGGCAAACACACATAAAAACTCAAATTATTTTCATTAAAAGTTGTAAAATACAGAAAAACCTAAAATAACAAAGTACTTTTATGGACACAGTGTGCAGCTTCAAAAAGGCTACGTGCGAGACCTAGAGATACGTGCTCTTAGAAAAGATATGTTAGAGTGGGCTCAACTAGCCTTCCAGAGAGTGGGCATAACGTCTACAGAAAGCTGTGATTTTAATGAAGATTATCAAAAATAATTTATCTCGAGACAGCGTGGGAGAGCGCCGTTGTCATTTTTCTTACACTAGAGGAAAATATGCACAAGTAAAGGCGATAGCTTAACACTTTAGGCTTAATATTAAAGAAAGCGAGTAGTTGGTAATTTTTAAGATCATTTCATGATGTATTTCGTCTTTTGTTCTTCTATATGAGCAATTAATAAACATACCAAAGAATTTTTAATTTGCCCTGGTACAATATACCAATGGAATATTTAACTAAACAAACACCTTAACGAATGGTTAAAATGAAAATTTTACTGTGATAAATTTTTAGATTTTAGTAGTTCCAACAACAAATAGTTTCAGAAAGGCCATTAAAGAAACTCTTCAGAAAACCGAGGCACGAATTTCACGTGGTAAATCAGAGGGCGCCCAACAGCGGCCGAGCAATAAAATCTGTAAATACTGGTAATTTAAGCCATGTTTCCATCTCGGCGAGCAGACTGTTTTCATGGGAGATTTCGTGTATTTTTCCGTGTGTAA